CAGCAAAGATCTACAACAAAGGGCAGAGGACAGTGCTACACAAAATGACGAGAAGGAACAAAATGCAACCTCAGAACTCAAGCCCACCCATAACAAGTGCAGAGGACACTAACACAGAACAAATTGGAAATGACACAGCTGAAAGCAATGAATCAACAGCTTCTGAAATAAAACAGCTGAAGAAAGATATAGAAGACCTCAGATTGGAAATGAAAAAAGTAACATTTGTAGCCATTGCAGAAAAGAGTAATCTCTAAAGGTATTTGCAATAGATAGTTCATCATTTCCAATATCTACGTTTGGAGCAGAGACAGGTGCGAAGACAAAAGGACACACAGCATATTCTGATACACATGCAGAATCTTTGTTATGATAATGACAAAACCACTGATACAATGAATTAAGAACAGATTGATTGTACTGAGGTTAACTCAAACCTGGGGGCAGGAGAATGTCTCTGATTAAAGCAATCCAAATATGCAATCTTGATATCTCATAACTTTCTTAACAATCCAGGTGTGAGCTCATTGCTGGCAAACCCTGCCCTCTCAATCTGCCAGCTCACCTACCAGGACCCAGTTCAATGCAACGACATCATATATAAAGGCTGCACCCCAACCATCTCTTTCATCTGTTCCTCTCTGCCTGTACCTTGCAATATTCCTCAGCCTTCTCAGGTCCAGGAAACATGTCTAGCAAAACCATCAGGAGCCAGAGCAGCAGCCATGGTGGCTTCTGTGCCAGTTTAGCCAGAGTCTCTGGGCTCAGCCATTCTGGCTTCAGAGGTGGCTCCACATGCCACATCAGAGGCAATGGCAGCATGCAGACAGCATGTGGAGGAGCTGGCTTTGGCAGCAGTACCCTCTATGACCTGGGGGACTCCAATAGGATCTCCACTGAAGGGAGCAGCTGTGCCACTGGAGACAGACATGGACGCAGAGTTGGAGGTAATTTTAGAGGAGGAATCAGCAGTGGACTTGGTTTTGGTGATGGGGCAGATAACAACTGGGGCTTGGCACTGGGGCCAGGTTCAATGGTGGCTATGAGGGTGTTGGCTTCCCCATGTTTTCCCCTGCAGGGATTCAAGAGGTCACTATCAACCAGAGTCTCCTCACTCCTCTGAACCTGCAAATCGACCCCACCATCCAGCGGGTTATGACTGAGGAGCGGGAGCAGATCAAGACCCTCAACAACAAGTTCGCCTCCTTTGTCGACAAGGTGAGCTGTGAGGCCTGGCCTCCCACATGGCACTTCACAGTCCCCAGTAGAGACACAACAAACCTCCACTAGGACAGAGAGAGGGAGCTCCATAGTAGCTCCGCATGGACAGCAGGAAATGGAAGCCATTTAGAACAGCTGAGTCTCCTCACCCTTACGCCCAGCAAGGGACCATCAGTCGTTCACACCCAGAAGCACGGGGGGAGCATCATGCAGTAAAAAGAGCTAGATCTCCCCTCATGAAGATCTAAGAAGGACAATAAATGCCAGTGGTGCTCCAACTGTCAGAGTATGAGGGAAAAGGTCAAATCAAAAATGAAAAGCATTTTCTGGCTCAATTAAACACTAATGCTCTTTACATAGTATATAGAAATATTAATTTATTCCAGAAGTTGAGAATGACCATGAAACTGAGGGTTATTTTAGAATACATACATGCACTAAAATAGAGCATTAAAGAGGAATTTAATTATTAGGCAACATTACTATCCCATATAGATGGAATCCTATCAATTAGGAAAACCTAAACAATATATAAGACCATTTAATTGTTTTTAAAACAGATTTCTGTTTGTGTTTTGAAAGGAAAGAAGAAGTGTGGAAATCCCCCAATTGTAACCATCACATAAAGGGCGAAAAGCCCTCCATGGTCTATGGCAGTGAGTGAACCTTTTAGAGACCCATTGCCCACACTATAACCTAAAACCCTCTTGTTTATCACAAAATGCCAGCACTACAATTAAGCACCAGTAAAAATATTGGTGTTTCGGTTTAGAAAAAAAAAAAACTCATAAGTAACCATCTTTTGTCTTAAAAGAAAAATAGTACCACACCATAGGTTTGCCGCCACCGGGCTGTGGCACCCAGGCCGAAGCATCCAGGTGGTGTAAGTTGGACGGCCCGAGGTTCTGTGTGCTCAGGACACAGAAGTACAGCCCCACTAGGGAAATCTCCACACCAGCCACTGCTTTTGTCCTTCCACTGTCTGTCATATGAAGATCTATCTCTCTTCAGGTGCGGTTCCTAGAGCAGCAGAACAGGGTCCTGGACACCAAGTGGACCCTGCTCCAGGAGCAGGACACTAGGCCAGTCAGGCCAGACCTGGATGTTCTGTTTAACAAGTACATCAGCAACCTCAGGAGGCAGCTGGACTACATAATCTCTCAGAAAAGCCACCTAGACTCGGAGCTCAGTCGCACACAGGACACAGCTAACAACTTGAAGAACAAGTGGGTCAAGGAGATGTGAGCTCGCTTGCCAAAAGCTTATTTCTCAAAGCTAGCTGGTGACCAGGTCTATGTAAAGGTGTCGTTTCTAAACAAAAATGTGTTTAGAGGAATTAAAATCAGAAATTATTGCCAAAGACCAAAAATGTAAGACAAAGAGGTTCATCAAAGGTTGAGGGAGAGTGAACTTAAAAATTAAATCACAGAAAAAAAATCCTTTAGTCTCTCCTTAAAAAAAGTGGATTTGGTCTCAGAATCTCCAGAAGATTTTTGAATCTAGCAGTTAATTGGAAAGATTCTCACCCTGACTTACTATATATACTGATACCTGTGAACTAAGCTACTGCACTGCAGATGGTAATCTGTAGTAGTAGTTTCATGCTTAGAGTGCCTGTCATTCTGGTCTTCTGAATACAGGCTGCTTGCCATGACATGCCAGTTGCTGCTATGCTGTCTCTCGGGTAGATGATTGTTCAAAAAGAAGGGGTGGTGAATGAAAGCAACAGATATGAAAAGGAATATTGTGGGACTGTCTTGCTTCAAGGTTGTATATGGTTAGTTTTTTGAACTTAAGTGTAAACATAAGAAGTATATAATTCTTTATGCCTATTTTTAAAATATATTCTAATTTTTAAATTTTTTATCATATTCTGTAGGGACTTAAAGTTCAACATATCAATACTTGATGAAAAATAACTGTTCCATGTTATGCCTAAGATGTTTGATATTCAGACAGATAGTGAGGTTAAGCTTAACAGCCTAAGTTGTATGGTAATAACAATAAGCTTTTCTTCTGGATGGTTAACAACCTAAGTTTGCAGACCAAATTAGAGAAAAAGGAGGGCTGCAAGGAAAGCCAACTTTTTGGCCCTAGCCTTCCAAGGTCAGTTAAGACTCAGGTCATATGAGAACTTGTACGGTAACGTCAGGTAACTCAGGAGTGTCCCAAATTTTCTGATCAAGGAGATTATGTGGCCAAAGAGGAAAGTGATCGATGATGTAGAGTGTGCCTAAGGAGAGTCACATGGAGAGAAAACATTCTCTCAGGATTTCACAGAGAGCACATTGTCCAAGCAATGGCCGTGACTCATTCACATGGCTGACACTGACAAAGGTTCTACAATCTGAGGTACTGGATCTCAGGATAAATCCTGAGGGGATTTCTCTGACCTTCTCAGACCCAAAAGCTACAATTCTTGTTGTATAGGTCCTGCTTTACCTTGGTCTTAACCATCCAGCAGAAAAGTATAAAAACGAAATATAAGGAGTAAAGCCATGGTGTTATGTGGAGCTGTAGGGGACTCAGATCAACAATTTCTGACATTGCCAGTCAAGCAGAAGACCCAATACTATTATGGGCTACTGGACCCTTTTAGAATATTTTGCTGAGTTTATACACCTATAATATTCAAATAACGGAACTTAACAAAAAAAGAGGATACAGATGAATGTCCATTTTGTACCTGTATATTCAAAATGGTTAGGATAGATATATAGTTACATTCTCTTAATGAATAGAGGGATTTGTTCTAATGGTGTTTGTAAATAGGATATCATGTCCGCATCTTGTACCGCAATTAACCACTAGGAAGAATGTATGCAATGTGTTAATTATTAAAACTGTCCTACTGATTTGATTTGAAACTTTCTCATTGTTATTTGTTTATCAATAAAATTATGAAAAAAGCAAGAAAATCTAACACTTAAAAAAATAAAATAAAATAAAATTTCATTATGTTCTTTTATAAAAAAAAAAGTGGATTTGGAAATGTTCCATTCATGGAATTGAGAGATCACAGGATAGGTTTGAATCTGTGAAAACAGTGTGTCAAATATGTTCCACTCTTCTTCTCATAGATATGAAGATGAAGTCAACAAACACACAGCAACTGAGAATGAGTTTGTGACCATGAAGAAGGTGAGGTGACTCTGAAGAAGGTCAGGATTCAGGGGACCTGCACAGGAGAGATATGGTTTAGGTTCCTATCACAAGGGAAAAGTGCCAACAAGGGTGGGCTGACAGGAGGGCTCCAGTGACACCATGTGGTCATCTCTTTCTCCAGAATGTGGATGCTGCCTACATGAATGACATTAAACTGAAAGACATGGCAGATGGTCTTAAAGATGAGGTGGGCTTCCTGACAACTGCCTTCGAGGTGGTGAGTATCCTCACCTTTCCGTTATTTACCCAGATGGGCTCTGCAGAAGGGAGGCTATGGGTATTGGGTATACCCGAAAAGAGAAACTTAGCACTTTCTGTTGGGCAGGAGCTGTCTCAGATGCAAACCCACATCTCAGACACCACTGTGGTCCTGTCCATGGACAACAACCGCAGCCTGGACCTGGACAGCATCATTGCTGAAGTCAAAGCCCAATATGAGGAAATCACTCAGCGGAGCCGGGCTGAAGCTGAGTCCTGGTACCAGACTAAGGTGAGCTGTGAGATGGTGACTGCTGAGAAATCCTGAGAAATTCAGGGTGTCCTGCCCTGAATACCAGAAGATTTCTAACTCCAGGAGTGTGATATGGGGAATCTACACAAAGAAACTCTGGGGCACTGTTTCCTATTCTATTAGTGTTGACAGTTATAGGATTTATGCCCACTTCTAGAAAGCAAAAGAAGTCAGAGACAAGAGGAATGCTCCCACAGATAAGGACATAATCATCTTTGTTTATTCCAACCCGAATATTAATTCCCAGAATGTACTATAGAACAGTGTCAACTTCTATGAGAACTTGACGTCTGCAATTTCCTAATTAGGATGATCTGTGATTCAGTTGTAGAGTACTCAGCATCCATGCAAAATCAACTTTTCCTAAAATTTCTCAAAGAGAAGCCATTATGTCATGGTATTGCATGCCTTACTCAGACAGAAAAATATTTAGTCAAATCTGTCTGTCTGTCTGTCTGTCTGTCTGTCTGTCTCTCTCTCTCTCTCTCTCTCTCTCTCTCTCTCTCTCTCTCTCTCCCCCCCCTGCCAACTACAGTATGAGGAACTACGGCTCCTAGCAGGCAGCCATGGGGAAACCCTGCACAACACCAAGCAGGAGATTGCTGGCATCAACCGCATGATCCAGAGGCTGAAGTCTGAAATTGACCAGGTCAAAAAGCAGGTATGGTGAGTGGCAATTGCAAAGACTTTGCTAGACCATGATGGAATCACAAACTAACATTTGTGATATATCCCAGGAAATAAAGAAAACATCAGAGAGAGAGAGAGAGAGAGAGAGAGAGAGAGAGAGAGAGACAGACAGACAGACAGACAGACAGACAGACAGACAGATGCAATTCAGAACCTACCCATGAAAGACAGATCCTATGAAAACCACGGTAGAAGACATGAGCAGGTCTAATCTCAATTAGTCAAAACAGTAAAAAGATAAACAGGAATAACTGATTACTTTTTACATAAGTAGACTGACCTGGGAATTGGAAATATACAACTTGGAAAAGGAAAATGAGGTCAGAGATGTGAACTCAGAAACGTTACCTGGTTGACTCTGGACATCCCCACCCACAAAAATAAAATTGTTCTATTTCTTTCATAATTCTGTTGCTTGTCTCTACTGCTATGTCTCCACCCAGTAACTAGACATAATCTCTTGAAGCATGGTTCACAGAATGGTCTCATACGTTCTTGTCACTGACTCCCTAACTAGATAAAAGACTACAAATGGAAAACACTGGGCAGAAACACTGAGAGGTCATGTTGCACCCACTGATGGCTCTGTAAGCCCCTGCAAAAGAAGACCTAGACTGATCCACTGGGGAAACACCAACTACAAGTGCATTCCTCTTGCTTCCTCTTCAGTGTTGCAACATACAGTCTGACGTCACTGATGCTGAGCAGCGTGGGGAGCTGACCCTCAAGGATGCCAGGAGCAAGCTGGAAGGGCTGGAGAAGGTGCTGCAGAAGGGCAAGCAGCATAGGCTCATGCTACTAAAGGAGTACCAGGACCTCCTAAATGTCAAGATAATCCTGGATGTGGAGATCACTGCCTACAAAAAGCTGCTGGAAGCTGAGGAGTGCAGGTGGGTCCCTCACACGCCGTCAAACATCTAACATCTCCAAAGAGCACAAGATTATGGAATACTAGTCATGGTTACAATTTCAGCTCTAGAAAATAACTAAAAGAGCGATTCTGCCTGAGCTTTTCCCAGCTAGAGGCTTCCCGCAGGCTCCCGGGAGCACCTGTCTAGGTCTCACTTCTCTATGTTCCTCTCCTGCTAGGCTGAATGGTGACGGCATTGGACCAGTCAACATCTGTAAGTACCCAGCTTTCCTGTTTCTGCTGTGCCAAACTGTGTGCCCAGCTCAGGAAGGCACACGAGCACACTGTGTCCTGTGTCCTCCTCTCCTTCTTGCAGCTGTGGTGCAGTCCACGGTCCCCAGGGGCTCTGACAGCACCGGTGGTGCAGGCAGTGGCATAGGCCTGGGCAGGGGCAGCAGCTACTCCTGCAGCTCTGGAGGACATTGCTTCAGTTCTGGTAGAGGCATCAGCATGGGGAGCGGCCTCAGCTCTGCCGGGGGAAGCCCTTCCACTACCAAGTACACGAGCTCCTCTTTCAGCAGGAAGAGCTGCAAGCACTGAAGTCATTCCCATATCATCGTCACCACCAGAGGTTTTATTATATGTTGCCATCTGATAGTTAGTCCTAGCCATTGTTACCGATGTTTTCTGTTTTTTCTTGTTTTGGGTATTGTTAGATATCCCTAGGTATCTTAGTGTTGTCGTGTTATGAGTTAGAAGCCCTTTCCCATGACTTCTTATTTAACTATAATAAGTAAAAATTAGTGATTTCTCTACTTTCATCTTGCACCCAACCACCGTGTTAACTTTATTCCCATTTTACAGATGAAAAAATCAAGATTCAGAAAAGTGAGCTAGCATGGTAATAAGAGGCAGAGCGGGATCCAACTGATCTGGCTCATTGCAGAATCTGTGCTTCTTCTGCACACTGGGAATCTCGGTCGCACGGCAGACTCAGTCTATCACTGACCCGCTGGCCATGGTGGGGGCGGGGCCTGTGCCTTCCACCCACCCCGGCCTCCTCCTCGCACCGCTTGCCCCCTGGTGGACATGCCTGCCCGGGCTTGTTAAGAGAAGAGTGCAGTGCTGGATGAGGGCATCAGGCAGTGCCTCAAAACGGGGGCAAGCTCCAAGCAGTGCTGCGGCTCTGCCTTGAGAATTCCAGCCCATACCGGAAAGATGAATGGCCCCCTCTTCCCAAGCTGGCTCTGCTTGCCATCCCTCGTCCCTCAGCTTGGACCCTAGTCAAGCCTTGTTTTTGTCTTTTCTCTTTCCAACACCTCTAACTAGTCTCTGAAGCCTTGTTTTCCTCACTTTGATTTCTTGACTAGTCCTTTGTGGTGAGGGTGTGAGGAGCAAACTGTGACCCTCTTCAGCATAGGAAAGATCTTGAAAACCTCCTTAGTTACTCCTGCATGTTTCTGTCTCTCTAGCAGCCTAGCAGTCACTCAGCAGGACAGTTTAAGGTTGCATGTGACATGTCAGTGTCCTAGACCCTGCAGAATGATTTAAGAAAAGGAAGGTGTATTTTCGAATTTATGTCAAAGTCAACTTAATTACATGCCTACATTTGAAAAATCTATCTCGCCTGGCATAGCCAGAACTATACCCATAAACACAGACACATGTACAAGTGCATACACAACACATACGTATACACACCACACATACATGCACACTTATACACACATGTGCATGCACACACCATAGACCAAGAGGCAAGTGTGAAGGTGCAAGAGCAATAGCAGACCCACCTTCAGAGAGGCTAACTGGGTACCAGTTCCACTGAGGGAAAATTTTGATAAATTTAGGGAAACATCGAGTTGGCATAAAATCTATAAAAGACCATGGTAAATAAATACTGTGAAAGGGAAAGAAACTTCACAAAAGGAAGAACAACTGGGATGAGGAAAAAGAAGAAAGGGGAAAAAATATATATGATGGCTTAGATAATTATACTATTAACTTCTATTAGTCATTGAAAGAAACAGTTAGTGCTTATATTGTTTGATCAATCTTGCATGCCTTTATCTTGTAATCTGAGCAACTACTTTGAAGAGAATCATATGAAATATAATAACCATTGTTAATTTCCTATCATCTTGTTTTGAAATTCTGTATCATTTTTATTTGTTTTTTTTTTTCTTTCTTTAAAATAAAAAAGACCATGATACTTAAACAGCATTATTAGGGAACTGATGTTTAACTTATAGAAACATTAAGTGCTCAAAAAAAAGTTCTATTCACTGAAAAATCATATCCCCTAAATCATCTCAGAAATAATCTGCCTAAATCCTTACAACTTCGCTGGAGGAGTATTTCCCTGTTTAGCACTAGAATATAGAGCCTTTTGATACTTCAATTGAATCCTTCACAATGAAGTTTAAATTATTCCCTGCTGGCTAAAACCACCACCACCACCGCAGCTGCCACCACTGCTACCGTCACCACCACCACCGTCACCACCACCACAATAACAGCAACAAACAGACTGGTGTCTTGTCACAATCCTTTCCCTCTTTGTTCTTTTCCCATTTCCCAATTCATTCGTCACTTTCATTAGGGATCATCCCAGGTCAGCCGATCCTTGCTTAATACCTTAGCACTCAGAGATGGACAAAAGCCACTTCTAGTCATTTCCTTTGGAAGGAACTTTCTCTCTCATTGGCCTAATGGGACTACCTCCAAAATATCCCCAGGCCTGCCATGATGCAGAGGGCATCGGAGCATCTGTCCATGCAGTCTGTGACATTTTGACCTTTCCCAGGAAGAGAGAGAAAGCAGTGTCCTGCTGCTCAGATCTAACCCGCATCACAAACATGGCGCTCATCTACTCGGCAAACACCGTTTCTCCCTTCAGAGTCCCCAGCAGTTTTGGTTTTATATCCTGCAAGTTGACTGCTGATCAGTGGCACTTTGATTACACACTATAAGAGAGCTGACTAAGTAAAGGAGCCCTCTGCTGGGTCATTCTACAGAGAGATTAATTCTGCTGTAATAGTGAGTCACTCGTCCTAGTTCTCCATTTTTCGCATCTAGACTTTTGAATATTTCCCCTTCTCAAAGCAAAACAAGGAAAGAGGATCCTGGTCTCCAGTTACCTTCAGTCACTCTCAGCTTAATGGTTCTCAGTTTCCTCACCTTATCATCGTCGTCATTGTCACCATCCTCATCATCAGTGTGTGCTAATCTGGTGTCTATCACAGGAGGCAGGTCAGATGGACAGGACAGATCCCAGAATGGGCCGGGAGTGCTCAGCCAAAGCTGGGTGTCCCAAGGGACCAGCCTCCCTAGGAATCATAGAAACCAGAGTCTGACATCCAAATGTCCCTGTCCCTGGAAATACCCAGGTGATGGATGTATCACCTTGATACCTCATGTAGAAGCACAGTGTCACATAGACAAAGTGGCCGCACTCAGCAAAGGAACGCAATCCCATCCGAAGTGTCTGTGGGTGGGTTGCTGTGTGAGTTATCCATGAGAAATGTTTAAGCCAAGCTGGCCACCTCAGCCTCTCTCCTATGCTTGGGGACTGCTCCCTGTGTGTGTCCACTGCATGGCATTTGGAGCCAATAGGAGAGCAAGATGTATTTGAAGTCCTCAAGCCTCATCCAATCATACAATTTCGTTTGAAAGGAATTTGTCTCTATCATGGGCCTGATGGGAACAGAAACCAGTCATATCACTTCCTGAATCATATTTTCTAATTTTGTCATATGCCATTTTATATGACTCCAGTGTTTCACACATGGCAATCTTCTCTTCCTCATAGCCCATCAAGTCTCTGCTACCTGAGAGTCATGGAGAATAATTACTTTCTGTTAAGACAGAAGATTCATGTGCCAAGGAAACAAAGCACCATGCTAGGGTACAGAAGACAACAGTCTTAGCAGCAGCTTACTTCCTGCTTCATGTAGGACACAGGGCCTCCCTCTCCTCATTCATAAAATATAGGACTTCTGTAATGTGTACCTCGCTCACTTTGATAGAGCTGAAGTGAACAACTAAGGCCAGGGCAGGTCAGTCTGAGCTCTGGCCACAGGGAGAACATGCCCTCCACGTGTCTCAGAACTGCTTGTTTATGTCCTGAGTCCACCCCTAAGGTGACAGCCTACTATTATAGTCTATGTATGTCCTTGTTGTATTGGGGATGATTATGCCTTCTCCACCCTACGTCTCAGGACCCAGTACATTACAGGGCCCCAACGAACATTTCATAAGAGAATAAATGCGTGATAGCATGGCTGAAAGACTTGGGTCTCTCAGAAGTAACTAAGATGAGAAAAGGAGGCTAGAAAGCAATGAGGAGGAAGGAGTTGCCAGAACGTCCAAGCTCACAAACAGAGAGGCACTGCCAGGCCCACTGGGAATTAGGTGACTCCTTTCTGCTCTGACTTCCCAGCTGTTGACACATACCCCAGCCTCAGCTGCAACTTCCAGATCAGTCACAAGCCAAGGAGGTGGTGTCAACAGCGTCCTTCAGAGTGCCAGTATCGCTCAGCCCGCCCAGCCTGTGCCCACAGGCGGTGGCTCCCTGCCAGATTCATGGTGCTGGGTTTCTAGGGTTCTTACTCTTTGACTCACACGAGACATCTGGGTTCCTACCTCTGCAGAAGAACTGGGGTGCATCTCATTTCTTCCCCACTTGTCTCTCTTACCAATGTCCCTATTTGGCAGCACTACTTCTGCACAAACCAGAGACTTGGTGAGCAAAGTGCCTTGATCCTGAGAGTCAGGGAGACCGTCACAGGGTCACAAAGGAATAAGGAAGACACCTGGAATCCTGTCTTCTCCAAATTTCTCCACTTGTTCTCCGGGGGATGCATGTGGAGGGCCTTGATATGATGATATCTCACCCATTCCTTCCCCAAGGAAGACCCCAGATGTGTGTCTCAGGCAACAAGGAGCTTTAATCTCTGGTCTCTATAAGGTGAGGGAGCCTAAAGGCAAAAGTGTGGCAGCAGAAAGGATCAGGAGTTCTCAATTTCCAAAACCCTGTGTGGTAGGCTACAGCTTTGTGCCCTCTCTGATCTACCTTATTTGTAAGTTTCTCTAGGCTTTAAAAGACTTTTCTTTCCTGATGCCCTCATTGGCATCCCATCCACCTGTAGATTGCCATTTTGTGAATGTTCTTAAGATGTGTGTGTCTGTGTTGAACTTTGTAGAGTTGAATTTCTTGGGTATGTCTGATACACTTAATCATGGAAGGAAGGTACAGCTCTACCATGCTTGTTTTAAACACAAGTCTGAAGGAGAAGAGCACAGGAGCATGTTACTTATCCCCTAAAACTGGCCAGTGGGGTCTTGAAGTCCATTGGCCTACTGCAAGAGGCCTTCACACACATACACATCAGTTCAGGCCTTGTGGAAGGCCTGATTCATGGCCAGTAGGAAGGAGCAGGTGAATTGCCTGCAAATAGGTGGATGTCCCAAGTCCTGGGCCTTGATAGACTGTAGAGATCAAATGGCACTTCTAGTGCCTTTTGAAGGACAATTATCATCACAGAATGCAGGAGCAAGGGTGCTGCAAAGAGGAGGGTCTGAGCCCCTTCAAGGCAGGCTGGTGGTGCCCAGTAGGCACAAGAAAGATTAAGGAAGCATGGCTCTACCAACAGTCAAGGTATATAAATGTTCCAGATTAGGCTGTCTCCAGCTCCACCACAACAGAATTGCCTTCCCCGTGCAACCCAAGGAGTGTGTCAGCTGGGTGTGATTGCACCCCCGAACTTCCTTAGCTTCCCTTGTCCTCCAGAGTGAGCTCTGTCTGCTTTGCTCACAACTTGATCTCCCTTGCTAGAACAGTAAGAACCTGGCAGGCAAGAGGGACTAATGGGTAATCACTAGACTCTGTCACAAAGGAAAAGGTGTGTAAAAGGAAGCTAAGAGGGAGCACCGGGAGGCAGAGGCAGTGGCCTGGGTACTCAAGCACTTGTCCAAGACCAGCCTGCCCTAGGGAACCAGGTCCCTTTACCCTGTACTCTACCAAGGCTCTTCTTTGGTCCTGGCCTGGCTGAAAGCCAAGGCTCCCTGATATCCCCAGCCCCTCCTCCTTAAGGTGCATACGTCCTCACTGTGCTGTCCTCTTCCACCACCACAGTGCCACAGCCTCTATCGCCAACTAGTCCAGCCTCCTTGAAACCAAACACCTCCTGAGACCTTTTGTCTTCCCTCTGAGGACAATGGCATCACCCCGAGAAGGAAGGACAGGCAGCAGGGAAATGCCCCTGAATCCACCACTGGCTCAAACCTCAAGGTCATTCCTTCCAGCCAGACCCAATAATAGAGTTAGAGAGACTCAAAAATGCTCAGAGAATAGAAAGAAACATGTAGTTCTCCTTTACTTTAGACACCCTCTATAACGTGAATTTCTACCATAGTTCTGTTTAGGGAGCTCTCAGGAGGCGCATCAAGGGGAGGGAAACTCCCCAATCCTCAGAGGTAGGTTAGCACCACAGCCACTAGAAAAACCAACTCACTGCAGCTCAAACCAAACACAGGTGTCCTGAGGGACTGGTGGATAGGGGCTTGCACTTGGGCCACCTCGTCTGAGAAGGCCTCCTGGGGGGCAGTGTTAAGCAGAATTACAAAGGAGGTTCAAAAGAACATAAAGCTGCATCCACTTAAATATAAAGGCTTCAAGTTTATCATTCTTTATAGCTGAGTAATACTCCATTGTATAAAAATACTTACCCTTGCTATTTTATAACTTGGGTTTTAGTGAAGTTTGTCACATTTTCATTCCCTGAGGAAAAGTTAATTCCAAACCTATATTCTATACATTTTACAGAATTTACACATAATGTTTAAAAACCAAATTCTTTTTCTTTCAAGGATGTGCTATTTAATATTTCTCAAGGACTTAAAGGCACTATCTTTAAATTTTTCTCAATAAACTCCCTTTTAAAGTCTTAATTGTTAAGTACTTTGATAATTTTGTCAGAGTCACTTCCACTTAATTTTGTCCGTATTAAATCTGACGCCATATTTTGATTTTCAAAGTGTTACATTTCTTATTTGTGTGTTCTCAAAGAATTTAGTATAAATATTGCATGTTCTTAATAAGTGCTTTCTGGAGCCTGGGAGATGGCTCAGTAGGATAAGCGCTTGACTGGCAAACGCAAGGATCTGAGTTCAATCCCCAGTCCCGCCAAAAAAAAAAAAAAAAAAAAAAAAATGCTTTCTGTTCTTACTTTTTCTAAACCTAGAATACTTGCAAACATATTTTGGTAAATGATTTAATACATAGGAAATAAATTTGTTAGAAAAATATTGAATGGGCAAAAATTGTTATATATGATCATATATGTGATTATCAGGATCTTAAAAAGGCAGAGACTCAAATCTGGGAATATAGCCACAATTTTGTTGTTTTTACTCAAATTTAAATAAAAAGTAAAAATGTAATCATTCAAAAAAAACATAAAGCTAAAACAAAGAAGAAAATGTTATCAGTCAGGAAGTTTTGAGATTTTAATGGGGTGGGCCTAGCATGTGCAAGGCTCTGGGCTCGATCCCCAGGACAACAGAAATAAAGTCAATAAAAATAAAGGAGGTGATGACACAGATTGTCAGGCCGGCTGAGTGTCCCAGGCACCGATGAGTCTCTAGGGTGAAGATCACAGGGCAAGTCAGAAGACACAAAAGAGAGAATGAAGAAGAAAAAGAGGCAAAAGACTTATCCATCGCAATGTAGCCCACCAACATCTGTGGGCTGAGAGAAACCACCACCCTAGTGGGAACATTAAGAGGAGGAGAAGAAAGAGTTAGTGACCTCCCCCAGGGCAGGAGGGGGGCTGTGAGAAACAGGAACAGATACAATGAGATGACAGAGCCTAGAAATGAGCGTCCCAGGAGGGAGCGTGGGAAGGGAATGGATGGCCCAAAGAGAGACAGCCTGCAGCGACTTCACCCGTGGGCGGTTCTACGCGTTCCAGTGGGCACGGATCGACACAGCTCCTATGCCCAACCCCACTGCCTCTTATGGACGGAGACCTCTGCAGGGGCTCACTCAGCACATTCAAGAAGCAAACAAGCATCCCTTCTTCTGGGAGACAGACTATCATGTCAGGAAGAGTTCAGAACAAAGATATTTGTTCTTTTTGCTCAAAAAGACAAGCATACACAGCTCTGGCTGGGACCCAGGCACTCCAATAACCGGGTGAGAGAACTCCTTTGCTCTTCTTGGCCTGTGTCAACAAATGCTGTGATTCATAGGTGCCCTATGCAAGCTGAGACTCTCAGGCAACCTGCTTCTAGCTAAAGGAGAGGCCCAGGTCCTGGCTGGAGCCCTCAGGAAAAGACTGATGAGGGAACAGGGAACTCCCCTCCAAGGCCCACACTACCCATCCATACAGGTGAGAACTTCTGCCAGGCCCCAGGTGGTAGACACCTGCCAGGCACCGCACGGCAGGACAACGGCTCTGGCTCTGCCTCCCGCCAGCAAGGCCATGTGGTGAGTCTACTAACTTAATCAGTCTGGATCTCCTTTCTTCATCCACACAATGGAGACTGGATACCTGTAATTTCTTCTCTCTCTCACCCTTCAAAACCACAGCAAGAAGCAAGAGGTCACAAAAGCAAAGAAAACTGAACTAATTGCTGTGTGTCTGCCCCCATGGGAGAAGAGATGCAGAAAGAGAGAAAGGTGCTGTAGGCTTCCTGTCAGTCAGTACTGAATACAGGCTACAATGAGGAAGATAAATGGTGCCAGGGACAAGGGATAAAAAAATCCTCCACTGGATACACACTGGAGATTTGTGTGGTGAGGGAGAGAAGACCTGGAGAGCCCAGTGCTAAGGAGGGGGGAATGAGCTGGGGGACTGCTGGCAGAGGGCTGCCTTCAAGTCGCTTGGATATGGTGCTTCAATGGCTACCATCTTGTTCCAAAGTTACTTAGCATCTTAGCCAAAGGACCATGAATTTATTATCAAAGAAACAGAATGTGCATTTTGTTCTTTGGAGTCCCCATGGGACTTATCACAGGACAGCCACACAGCCAACCTCCCATAATCCTCACTTGACTGGATCAGGAGGAGCAAAGACTCAGCTGTTAAGTATTGCAGTAGTTTCCACACATGTGTATTCACCTCAAAGCCCATTTACAGGCACACAAATAGAAGCTCAGAAGAGTAGCATGGCGTGCCCACAGCCCCACAGCTGGCCATTGGCGGGGCTGGCATTCAAACCCAAGTCTTTCTACTTTCCCACCTTTTATCCACAGAGGACTGAGACTGGCTGGCCTTAAGGGTCACATCCTACAGCTGTAGGCAGGGTATAACACACCCATGTGCATACACACTTGTGCTCCAAAAAATTGCATGTGACCTATACAACATACAGGGAAGCTTCAGAGCCCAAAAAAGGGGCCGTCGACCCTGGGTGGACACTGAGGAAGCATGCCAAACCTAACAGGATTTTCATGATTCACAGAGCCAGTCCCATAGGGTAGGGGAGCAGGCAGCGGCTGCTGAGAATGTCCTCCGGCTTTGGAAGCACACCACAGAACAGGAAACAGGGAAGCTCACCAGCTTGTACTGACACAAGATGTTTGGATAGGAGGGAGTTGGTCGCAGGCCTAAGAAAGCGGTTTAGAAACGAGGCAGTGTTTTTTTGAGTCCATTAGAAGACGCGTGATTAGGACATGACTGAGAGTAATTAACATGCTTCTCACTGGTCTGCTGATCAAGTTGCAACTGGAAAGGAGTTTCCACATGGGGGAGGGAGACAGGGAATCGACCAGTGGCTCTTTTGGGCATTTCCGAGGGGGGGTGTAGGGGGTGCTGAGTGTGAGCTCAGGGCTGGTGGATGCCTAAGGAATGCCATCAGCAGGCCCCTTCATTACCATGCTCCACCCCTTTAGGGCCCCATAAAGCCCAAGGATCCCACAGCTCCCTAGCTGTCTGCCTTCTTCATCCCCTTCACACCTACCTCAGGAGCTCCCCGCCAGCCTTCCTCACCCACCATGTCTCGGCAGTCCACCATCACCTTCCACTCTGGCAGCCGCAGGGGCTTCAGCACCGCCTCGGCCACTACACCTGCAGCAGGGCGCTCCCGCTTCAGCTCTGTCTCTGTGGCCCGCTCAACTGGGGGCAGCGGGGGACTGGGCAGGATCAGTAGTGCTGGGGCAAACTTTGGAAGCCGAAGTCTCTACAACCTGGGGGGGACCAAGAGGGTCTCCATTGGTGGGTGCGGTGGCAGCTTCCGAAGCGGTTTTGGTGGCAGGGCTAGTACTGGATTTGGGATCAGCAATGGATTTGGCTATGGTGGTGGTGTTGGAGGAAGCTTTGGTGGTCCTGGATTCCCAGTCTGTCCTTCTGGAGGCATCCAAGAGGTCACCATCAACCAAAGTCTCCTGACTCCCCTCAACCTTCAAATCGATCCCAGCATCCAGCGGGTACGGAAGGAGGAACGTGAGCAAATCAAGACCCTCAACAACAAGTTTGCTTCCTTCATTGACAAGGTGGGACAAGCACTTCACCTGACCTGTTGCATTGGGCTGAATACACTCCAGGGAAGGTGCAGCCCAGAAGGGAAGGCATTGATGGGAGGACCCCCTGGGAGAGGTGGCTGCTCTGCTAGCACTGGTGGTGGGTGAGGCATTTTCAAGTCAGGCTAGCTTGGGCCACATGACCTTGGGGAGATGGCCCTCACCCTCTCTGAGAGCCAGTGGGTTGCTTTGGAGTCAATGTCCAAGGCAGAGCAGATTCCACTGAGCCTATTACCCCTCACCAAGCAGGCAGTGTTGAGAAATGCATCTCAGACACCAAAAGCTCTGAGTCCCCTACACCCCTTCCACGGAAGCCCTAAGGGACTTTGGATGTCTCTGGTTTCTTCACTGGAAGTGGAACTGTCAATTACATAGCTGCCAGTTGGACATCAGGTGAAAAGCTATTTTTCTTTACTTCCTTTTTAATAGGAGTGTCTGGCTCTGTGCCCCTCGCTTCTTAAGATTCATACTCAGGCCGGCCGTGTAGCTCTGTGGTAGTGTGGCCTTACACTCTGGAGGCCCAGGGGTTCAATTTCCAGAAACTTCCAAAAAAAACCCAATTTCATTCTCTCTGTTCCTCTGCAGGTGCGCTTCCTGGAGCAACAGAATAAGGTCCTGGAAACCAAGTGGAACCTCCTGCAGGAGCAGGGCTCTAGGACAGTGAGGCAGAGCCTGGAGCCCCTGTTTGACACCTACATCAATGACCTCCGACGGCAGCTGGATGGCATCACCACGGAAAGGGGCAGGCTGGAGGCCGAGCTGAGGAACATGCAGGAGGTTGTAGAAGATTTCAAGGTCAGGTGAGTAGGCGAATAGGCTTCTGGCCACACGCAGCTGTCCTAGGGCTCCTTTTTCTGAGGACCAATGATGTGCAGAAAAACAACAGCTGGTATCAGCTGAGAGCTCCAGACCTTGCTCTCAGGACCCCATAAGAAAAAGAGAGTGAGTGTAGAGTAACAAAGGAATTTTCATCTACAGAGAAGAAAGCCATTTCTATCTGTGTACATGGCTGCACAGTGACATCAGAACAGCTAACACAGCACAGCAACTCATTTTCAGCTGCCTTATATTTCACTCTGAGCAATGACATTTACCTTCATTGGCTGTGGGCTCAGTGTTTGGGATGGCTTGCATTTCCAAGATGCCATTGTCTTAAGGGTTGAAGAGATAGAAAAGAAGATGTGGAAGTCTAAGCAAGGCTATCCAGGCTCCTGCCTGATGGCACATTTTGGCTTCCATCACTCAGGCTGCAGTAGGGAAGGTTGGGAAGGGATACCAAGCTAACCCTTAGCTGGTACACCCTCAGCTTCTGAGTTTGAAGTACTCTTCATTATGAAAAGCACATTGCTCTGTGGCCACCCAGAAGTCCAGTGAGAATATGTCAGTTTCCACCTGGAACAGTGTCCTGAATAGTACAGCTCCCTCCACTAGTTCAGCATATGCTTGAGGCAACAGGTTTTCTGAACAATTAGAATTAATTATGCATCTCTAAAGAGATGCAATTGCCTAAGACATCTGTTCCCTTTAGTGCGGCACTCACCTTCTGGGCTTGTAAAAGTTTTTTTTTTTTTTTAAGAAACTGTCAGAAGAAATTAGAGCCCTCCCCTCCCCCCTTTAATAGAGGAAGAAATAGAGGTTAAGTGACTCACCTAGTGATACATGGGTCAGCAGAAGAGCTGGAAAGGCTTTGATGTCTCTGAGCTTTTGCTACTCGAGCCTGGAAGAGCTGACAGAATACTTGCTCAATAGCACACCCTCCCCCTCACCCCTGTCCTTCCAGGTATGAAGATGAAATTAACAAGCGCACAGCTGCTGAGAATGAATTTGTGGCCCTGAAAAAGGTGAGTGGAAATGTCTCTCCAAGGAAATAGTACTGAATCTTGGAGTGACAATTGGGCCACTCAAAAAAAGTCACATCAACTTTAAGATTATCTAGAGAGCTTAAACCGGCCAGAATGCTGTGTGTCCCTCACTCTGCACTGACTCTGCTCAGGTTCCTGTCACCCCAGGTAACTCAAATCCCCAATTCCCAGTCTCCCACCCTCAGTACCCCCAGGTACTACATTTTCTAAAACCCAAGATAGAAGGGCCAGGCAGGATCCTGTCCAGGTTTCAGGGGGCCGGGCTCTCAGAGGAACTTCCTGTTATTCCAGGATGTGGATGGCGCCTATATGAACAAGGTGGACCTGGAGGCCAAGGTCGATGCTCTGACTGACCAAGTCAACTTCTACCGGATGATCTTTGAGGAAGTAAGAGTGCAAGATTTTTTTTGTTTTCCTTGGAGCCTAGAAAGAAAAAGATAGTACAGTGTCTTTCATGGAGTGCCTCTACCCAGACTCTTAGTTCCTATCCTTAAGGCCGGGCTTAGGGAATTGTCCCATCTCTGAGACCTATTCCTCCTCCCATGGTAGGACAGCCCTAGCAAGGAAGGACTGTTGATTCTCAATGCTGGCTCACTGGGTAACATTCTTAAGGAGTCAAGAACTATCTCCCCACCCCAAAAAGTTCCAAAGGGCAGCTGCCCCTCGGCTCATTGGCTGGGTGTTTCCTATCTTCTGAAATGCCTCAGTCTGCCAGAGATCTGGGTCTGTGGAAGAGAAGAAGGAGAAAGGGATGAAGTCGTACTATGCAAAGGACAGCAGGATCCTGAGCATCACCTGATCCTAAAGATATCCTATTATGCTGGCATATGAAAAAACATATGTCACATTCCAGCCTACGTGATTTAATCTGGAGGACACTAACGCCCATCACACTCAAGGAAAGCATGCAGATGGGAGGTTGGAGGTGATACTAGGGAAACTCTGCACACTGATTGGTGGCCCAGAGGTTCCCTTGGGTGCAAAAGCATCCCGTCAGTGGCTGTGAGTGCCCAGGGGACAGCTGGAATAATCCACCAGGGATACCAAGGAAGAGACTCTCCCTCCCCTAGATGGTTTGGTCACCTCAGGGATTCAGGATCCTGTCTGTGTCTGGGTGACACTGAGTTGCTGCTCGGCAGGAGCTGTCCCAGATGCAGACCCAGGTCAGCGACACCTCTGTGGTCCTGTCCATGGACAACAACCGCAACCTGGACCTGGACAGCATCATTGCCGAAGTCAAGGCCCAGTATGAGGACATTGCCAACCGCAGCCGGGCTGAGGCTGAGTCCTGGTACCAGACCAAGGTAAACAAGGACATTTCCACAATCCGCTGTAGGGTCAGTGTTCTCTAAGGCACCACATCATCACTCAGGAGACACAAGGGCATTTCCTTTTCCTTCAGTGCAGCAGGAGCATCTTTGATGCTATGAAAACCTAGCTCAAGGTACATAAGGAAGCCTAGCCACTTTGCTAATATGTTGCCAGGGCACGCTGCATCCTAGGGACATGCATGGGGACATGCACACTCCCCACATTGCTCACGATCTGAGTGAACTGGTATTGCAGAAATAGTTTCTAAAAGGCTTATTAATTCCATACAGATACACTGAGCTCTTACCATCTGCCATGTGTCACCACAAGGTTGTAAAGGAATAAACTGCAAACAGAGAACCCAAAGTTTAGGAAGTCATGAATGAATAGGCAGTCACAGAAGGGAAAAAGAGAGCATTAATAAAGATCTTTATTTAAAGACCTTCTTCCCAGAAGAAATGTCTTTTGTCCAGTAGGACAAAGACTGTGAAGGAGGAAGAGAAAGGTTGGTGGCTAAACAAGCAACGGAAAGGCAGCAATGTGTATAGTAGTCCCTTGCTATTTCGCAGTTCGACTTCCACAGAGTCACTGTTAAGTGGCTTCTCAAAAAATGTTAATCTAAATTATTTATCACAGACTTTTCACTGTATCACAGGATTTTGCAGTCTCATACATACAGTATATGTATGTTGTTAAACTAATGTAGGTTTTCGAGCTTAGAAAATGGTTAAGAACATTCAAAGTGTTTTTAAAAGTGTGGGAAAGGTTTGTAAGAGTGTGGGAAGGGTTTATAAAACCTTTAAATATATATAAATACTAAATTAAATATGACATCATTACTTCTCTGATCTTTACTTATCACAAGGGTGTTTGGAACATAACTTCCATGATAAGTGAGGGACCCCAGTACTTTGCAGAGCAACAAAGTTTGAAATCAGGAAGAAGGAAATTGGGATGACCATAGAACTGCTGTCTACAGAGCTCTGATGGCTAGAGGAGCTTTGGCTTTGTGGAGTCTAGTAGACTCGAGAGGTCAGCTCCCTGCCAGACACAGGACCTTACAAGGACAGCTGCTCACTTACAGCTAGCCCTTGCCCCTTACCCTACACTAGCACTGCCTTAGTCCTTTCTGACTGGCAGAATGGAGAAAGGAAGAAGGGTATCAGGTGTTAGGAGTCCACAGCTTTTTGTGTAGTTGAGGCTGCTGTTTTTTTTCTAATCCTGAGTACCTAGAACCTGAGGAAGCTAAATGGTTACCACTTTCAAAACTGAGAAGATCTTGACTCAGGCAAGACTCTCCTTTTGTTGGGAAAAGTACAAATTTCACTCCAGTCTCCTAGAAAAGACAGAGCACCATGAGCCTTCCAAGTGAATGTGTCCTAAACGTGTACCACTAGCTCGATAGCCCCTGAGACCAGGCACATTCCCATAAAAGTCCCATTTGTGTTAGCTGCAACTTCTACACCAGGAAATACTGTTCCTTTGCCTCTTCTCCATGTGTCCCCAGCACCAGTGTCTGAAGGGCTACCAAAACAGATGGATATAGTTTGTTTGGACATATGCCCAATGTTGACTATGTTACCTGCCCCAGGATCTTTCTCTGGCTCTTTCCCATTTGGGATGTTCTCCCCTTCAGAAAGCTACGCAGGCCACTCTTCCCATACTGCAGACCTCAGCACCTCCTCCTTTGGAGAGACTTCTCTTACCACCCTTCCCCACTTGCAAGTTGGCTAGACTCCTATATGACACTCTCAAGGGCCCTCTTTCTTTCCTAAGGGGAACTTAAGTCTATTTGGAACTGTAATTGAATAATGCCTTGATTTTGTTCATGCCTATCTCCCCCAGTAAACTGCAAGCCTTGGGACAATGACGGCAAACCTTTTGGTGCTTTCGGGGATAACAAACAGTTCTCTATGACAAGCATGCCATAGGCTCACCACCACTGTCTTAGGAGAACCGGGGCCTGACTGCTCATTGTGGTACTCTTGGAGCCTATTGCCTGCCAACAAGCAGATTCATTCAAGAATTACTACCTGGGCTGGGTGTGGTGGCACATGCCTATAATCCTAGCAATCAGGAAGGCTGAGGCAAGAAAGTCTCAAACCTAGGCCCAGCCTAGGCAACTTATTGACTTAAAAAGACCCTCCCTCAAAATAAAGTTTTAAAAGGCCTAGGATTGTAGCTCAATGCAAAAGCCCTGGGTTTAATCCCCAGTGTTGAAAGGGGAAAAGAAAGGAAAGAAAGAAGAGAATAAAGTGGGAGAGAGGGAAGCAGGGAGGGAGTGAGGGAGGGAAGGAAGAAGGAAAGAGGGAAGAAGCATGTTGGTCACCTGAATTAACAAGTGACAGAATGAGTAAGTGACCAAGAGGTGAGTAGGACATCTCTAGCTTACAGGGTTTGCCCAAGTCAAGCATTTGATAGGTGACTAGGTCTCCTCTGGTCCTGTCAGTATGAGGAGCTGCAGGTCACGGCTGGCAGACATGGTGACGACCTCCGAAACACCAAACAAGAGATTTCTGAGATGAACCGGGTAATCCAGAGGCTGAGAGCAGAGATTGACAGCGTCAAGAAGCAGGTAAAGTTTTATCAAGGGAAAGAGCTTGCCTGGTGCTCATTTGTTCTGGGTCTTTCTATCTGAGAAGACTTCTGCCCTAGCAGCACCCCGCCCAGGCCTCCAGAGGCTGTTGGTACAAGTTGCAGCTTCCTCCTTTCTTCCCAGTGCTCTAGCCTGCAAACAGCCATTGCTGATGCCGAACAGCGTGGAGAGCTGGCCCTGAAGGATGCACGGGCCAAGCTGGTGGACCTGGAGGAGGCCCTGCAGAAGGCCAAGCAGGATATGGCCCGGCTGCTGCGTGAATACCAGGAGCTCATGAATGTCAAGCTGGCCCTGGACGTGGAGATCGCCACCTACCGCAAGCTGCTGGAGGGCGAGGAGTGCAGGTGAGGGGCAAATGCTCCGTCCCCATCCTCCACACAAGTTGAGCTCTGCCCAGCTGCCTAGGTGTTCTGAGGGGCTCAGGTTGTCACAGCCTTCTCCTCTACTAGAGAGGGGATAAAATGGGGGTGAAATGGGGTTACCACGAAGAAGACGGGTACAATGTCTTTCTGAGCTAGAAAATCACTTGAGGTACAAGTGATGTTCCTTGTACAATTGTATTTAGCATACCATAGATATCTAAGATCAGCGCCTGCCAAATAGCTCAGCAGATTAAAGCACCTGCTTAGGCAGCCGCAGAGGCTGGGAGTTTGATCCCTGGGCCTGCCATGCCAGCCCCGCCTCCAGGGTGCACTGAGATGGTGATTGAGACTGGGTGTGGTGGCGCTCATCTGTAATCCCAGCACTTGGGAGGCTGAAAGCAGGAGGATCACTATGAGTCTGATCTATGCAGTGAGACCCTGTAGACCCTGTAGACCCCGTCCTAAATACAAAAAAAAGAAAGAAAGATAGATAGAAAGGAAGAAAGAAATCTAAGATCTGAGTAGGTCTAAGTGATTGCATCTTGTCAAAGGGGAGGCTGGTTACATGGCAGGTCTCAAACTGGTATAAAATGTTCTAGACTACGAATAAAGTGCCCTAGTAGTTTGGCTCACCTGTCTACCACTACCTGGCTGTATAGGCATCCAAACATCAGTCTCCAATTTTAAATTTCTTCAGTGAAGAAATGAAAGGTCTAGATTACATGCTCCCTGAGCTTTGGTGGGAGCTTGGTGCTCTACATGTTACCATCTTTGTAACCAAGAGAAAATTATTCATCTTCTCCATGTCCCTCACACTTATAAAATGGGGATAATAATAGTTCTAATGTCATACGTTACTGAAAAGGTTAAAATAGGAATGTATGGGCAGATCTTAGAACAATGTATCTTATGCAACAAGTACTCAATAAGTGTTAGCTCTGGGTCAGTGTAGTGACCAAGGACATTGGCTTTGGGGTCAGAGGAACCAGGCTTCTAATCCAGCTTTGTGTTCATAGGCAAGTTAATCAACCCCTCCACGCTTCAATTTCCCCTCTGCAAAACGGAGATGGTAATCCCTACCTAAAGGAGTTTCTGAGAGAACTAAAGGGCACGGTGTAGGTCACAGGTACTCAATAAGGTTAGCACTTGTAAAAGTTCTAGGTATGTGTTTGTGATGAACGCAAACTGCTAAGACAATAATAGATTGATTTTTGCTATTGTTAATTTTACTGCTCAAACTACTCCTCTGCACTCCTATGACAACTTCCATGCTGGCCTGGTATACCATAATAGTCCCTTGTTCCTCTGAAATCCTATTATAGGATAAGCCCCACCTTTCTGATTATAACAGTGTGTCATTAGTTTTAATATCCTTAAGATGTCCAAGTAGTTCAAACCAAAATGGGTTTCTGAGATTATAGGTTTTATTTCTATGAACCTCAAACTCCATTACTATTCTCATTAGATTATTCTTTTTACTATTACTAGTATTTACATACTTTCAACCTGTATAAATTTGCAATAGAAATAGTGAAAAGTTTTTATGCTTTCATAAATATCTTCAAAACTGTCATTGCAAATTCTCACACACCGTTGGACACAAGCCTAACCTTTCTTCCCCTTCCTTCCATCCAATCAGGCTAAGTGGAGAAGGAGTCTCTCCGGTTAACATCTGTGAGTATGGTGTCATTCTTGTGTCATTTGGGGTGTGGGCAGTTAAAGGATGTGGAGGCATGGGCTTGAAAGATGGGAAGACATGGAGCATGAGAGAGAATCCCACAGGCTGGCTTCATTTTGAGGGATATTTGAGGTTTTAAGTCTACTTAAAAGACAACAATATCAGGAGAAAAACTGCAGTGTCATGCTTTTGCCTCTTTGTGAGTGAGAATGCAAGGTAAGGGCAATGGGAGGCTTGTTACAATTGTCTTGTGTGAGTTTAGAAAAATCTCAGCCATGTCTCCCACCACCACCCCAAGAGTCCATACTCTCTTACTGGAGCTGCAAGTCTAGCTCAGAGACTCCAAGACAAGCATTTGATATCAGGCCTTATAACATTCCTGATCTGCCTTGGGCATGTGGAGAGAGACTTCACACCAAGCACAGGACATGACCAATGAGGAGGCCCCTGTTCCAAACAGCTTGGAAAGAAGCCACTGCTTGACTTGGCTCTGCAGAGTGCAGCTGGGGGAAGTTGTTGAGGCTTTCCAAGACCCCTACAGCAGCACGGAGCACAGCAATTGGTAACAGCTGCTCCAAAGCAGGAGCGACAATGCCAGTGTACCTGTAAAGGCAGAAGTCTTCTCTCACACAGCTCAATGCTGGCACAGTGAAGGCAACAGAAATGACATCGGCCGTTCACATCCCACGAGTGGGTTGGGTTTCCTTGATGAAAGATTCATAAGCTCAATTGATTACACTAGCCAGTGGTTCTAGAAGACAGAACTACCTGTGTCCCTGAATTTCCTCCTGCCCTCAAGGCCGTGCTCCAGAGACCCTCAGAACTATTTCTGGGAACAGATGGCATAACCTGGAGCTTCCTTGTTTTCTGAACACACCTGGAGGTTTATGTTAGTTTCCTACAGCTGCTGCAACCAAGTGCCATGGACTAGGGGGCTTAAAAATAACAGACATTTACTGTCCCAGAGTTTGGGAGGCTAGAAGCCCACAATGGGGGTGTGACAGGGCCAGATTCACTCCTGTGGAGAGAATCCCTCCAGGCCTCTTCCTTGCTTCTGGTGACTGCTATCAGCCCTTAGCCTTCCGTGGCTTGTGGCTTCCTCACTCCATTCTATCTGTGATCTTAGGACCTCCTCCCCAGGCATACCCGTCTTCATGGGAACATCTTCTCCACTTGTATACGGACCAGTCATACTGGGCCCAGGCCCATCCTAAAGCCTTCATCTTGATTACGTCTTTGAAGGTCCTGTTTGCCAATAAGATTGCAACAGCAAACAGAAACACCAAAATGAGACCCAGGATTCCAAGACAGATTTATTTATGCCAACAGGCACTGATCAGAATCATTCCCGGAATATCAGACCCTGATTTCTGGTAGTCCAGGGCTTTTGTATGATGCACAAGCAGGAAGTACAAAGGTGAGACAGCACAGCCTGGCAATTCTTCTGATTAGCTAGCAGGGTGAGATCATTGGTTACAGGGCTAGATTAATAACCATCCATTACAAGTACAATCAAGTACCCTGTATGTTCAGTTATGCTCTCATGGTTACAAGGGTCAAGAAAGTAACTACAACGCCATGAAGCAGTTACAGAGCTCAGCAGTTTCAAAAGAACAAAGTTCTGAAAAAACCAATTTCTCTCCTACAGTTTTTCTCTTTCAAGATCACAGTCATACAGACTTGGGGTTAGAACCGCAACAGAGATTTTTTAGAGGACACCATTTAGCTTGTTATAGTTCATTTTTCATTTCAGTTTTCTTCCTACCGAGCCCACAGTGAAGTGCTAGTTAATCTAAGCTGAGGTGATGCGTGCTTCTGAGTTAGAGGAATAGATTTATAGAAGAAAAGGAAGGGGCCGGGGAGATGGCTCAGTGGAATAAGGGCTTCCCTGGCAAGCACAAGGGCCTGAATTCAATCCCAGTTCTGC